TCGTTTGAAGAGTTGACTATAAAGGATTAATAAAATTCTATCGACGGATGGGAACTTTGAAAAACGTTCTTGTTTACATAATTTTTTCATTACACAGAAAAGAGCAGGATGTATTTTTGCAACATTTCTCGAGATTTCTGTCTGAAATTTAGCCAATAATAATTTGAAAAAATCATTTGTTTTATCATCATTTATTAAATCATATAAGAAATCATATGCCATTTCGACTTCATTTTTATAAGGGTGTGATAAAATGCAATTTAAAGTTTCTTCTTTAAAATGATAAAGAATTGTTTGAGCATGATCATAAAAGATATAATAATAAGGTTGTGTATTATCAATAAATAATTGTAAAAAGAAATGAATAAGGTGAGCTAAATTACTCATTTGATCTCTTTTCTCCATGAAAATTTGTCGAAATTGAGTTTCAGTTGAATAATTTGGGATTCTTAAAAAGTTTGTATGACCAACAATTTCCATAAAGCCTTCAATTCTTTTTTCATTTGATTGTGAAGTATAATCGAGAACTTTATTTAGAAAGCTTTTGATATGTTCAGCTTTAATAATTTCGGGGAAAAGGGCGGCATTATGGCGTACTATTTTCAAAGTACCATCAAGATTTGGAGTTTTCAAATATGATGATTGAATGCTGGCTACAAAGTTTTCAACACACATTGGTATTTTTTCTTTTAGGATTTCAATACATTTCTTAATCTTCTTTTCAAAAATATGGTAAGGGAAAACATGTATGAAGAACATAATGAATTGATTAATTCGTTTTTTCTCAAAAAAAGGTGAATTTGGAGGTTGTGTTTTAAAAACCATCTGGATAAAACATAATCTCATAATATACTCCATAGATACATTTGCGTTATTTGGACTGTCACTTTTTTTAATATCGTTCACAGATCTATCAATAATATCAATTGGTATTGGTTGATTATTTTGAACACCACATGCAAGAGTTGCTGCAAAAATGCTATAAAACTCTCTAAGTTGAATTCTTTGAAGATGATTGTAATCCTTATAAGGAGATTCGACTTTTGCTTCATGTAATCTTTTAATCAATGATCTCCTGAAATTTAAATTAAGAGACTTGAATTTAATAAACGAAATTGCAATATGAGTAAAATAACTTTTATGTTCAGGAAGCAAATTTTCAATGAAAGTCTTCAAGAATTCATTAAATGGTTTCATGTATAAATTTGGTGATGTGTTCAGGAAAAATGGAGAATTGGAAAGAATTATTAAATATAAATTCAAATGGACATTTGTTATTGACCCTGGATATTTTTTCTGGATTAATAAAAATAAAGTTAAAATTCCATTAATATTATGTGGAGCCTTATACAGTGTAAAGAATTTATCTACGATTTTTGAGGCTTCTTTAACAGTAATATTTAATAAACTGACAAATGAACTTATTATATTCACATATAAGGCACTAGCTACGGAATATGAACATAATACACCATAAATAAGTGCAATGATATAGTTATAATTACCACTTGATACAATTGGAGCAAAAAGAGAATTTAATTTATTAAACAAAGCAATTACACGATCTCTTATTAATTCAAAGCCTAAAAGTGCTGTTAAGTTATTAATTATTTGCTCAAGAAGTGAAATAGGATACTCACTATAATCATCATTTGCTTCAATAAATGTTTGAATCAGTATCACCATATGTAGAGCTTCAGTTTCTTTTCCATTGAAATTAGCTAAAATAGTCTTTAAAACATTTATGAAATCTACTTGATAACATGATAAAATATATCCAACTTGCTGGACAGATACATTGGTTCTCCAACTATGGAATAACCTCAAAAGCTGTGGAATAGAATGCATTAACTGTAAAGCATCTTCTTTATGACTTTTTCTTATTGATTTGAACATTGCTATATAAAAGGGTCTGTAAAATTCGGTATCACTATCAAAAATTTGTTGCTCATTGGATTTTATAGTTTCCTCTTTGGTACTCAAAAGAAAATGAAGTGAGTTTTCAAGTGCTTTATGAATCAAATCTGGTTGTTTTGATGTATACCCATATATTAAATAGATTACCAAGCTTGTTGGTATTGATGTATGATTTTGGAAATCAATTACAAAATTATCAAGCATTAGTGGTGCTGCTAATTTTTTAATTTCTTGTCTATGATCATATAATTGAGGTCTATATAATTTTAGATGCATTTTAAATGCAACATTTCGATATTGCTCTTTCAACATTTCATCTGCATTTTCTGTCATTATACGAATATATTGGGTCATAGAATTTAGGAATTCCCTCTGATTTGTTGATTTATAGCGAGATAATAGCACATTTAAAAACATTTTTTGGTAATTCCGAAGAAGTAAAGAAAATTCATTTCGTGGAGGAATATGAGAATTTGCTCTTCCACCTATTTTTAGAACTAAATATAAATATTGATGAAAATCATTTGCTTTTTCTAAATTAAATTCATCAATTAGCATTGTATTTTCATATAAGATATGAAGCATGTAATTTGTGATTTTATAAATAATATTTGTAGGGAGAATATTTTGTAAGTGCTTAACAAAATAAAAAGAAATTTTCCGTTTTCGAGAAGCTGTAAAAAGTTTCCGTGCAATTATTTTAGCGAATAAATTCAAATAATCACTATTCATTTTTTTAATTAAATGCTCTTGAATTTTTCGGTAAAAAGTATTAATCGCACTTTCAAATTGATTGGTTTTTGATGCAATTTTAGAATTCTTAATTTTACTAGTTACTTCATTATGAAAAAGTAAAATAAATAATTCTCTGTAGCTCAACTCAATTAAAAACTTAAATAATACTTGTAGGAGTCGCTTAATATAAAATATTATCATTGAATTGACTTGTTTATCATCGAGAGTTGTATCATTAGCTGTTGCACTTTTGCCAATTACATTGAAAAATTTTTGCAAAAAATGAAAAGGCATTGGAAAACGATTCATAACAAAATTAGTATATTTGCAGTATTTTTCATAAGCTTTGTATGCTTCTTCAAAAGTTTCATAAGATTCATATATTAATTTAGAATATAAGAATTGATCTAAGGGATTAGGTTCATTTTCAATAAATTGTTCATTAAAATAAATAATATTTTTTTTATATGATCCGACTTTTATAGCTTTTATACTTTTTAATGACTCAGTAATTACGCCAATAGAAGCAGCTAGTTGTTCTAAAAAGTAAAATAACGATATTCGTGTATTATTATCGGCTCTTCTAATTAAAAAACCGATAAATTTCGAGTCGGTTTCTTTTCCTTTGGCTTGCCAGCTTCTAAGAACATTAATTTGATTTGGTATATATAAATATTGGCATAGAAAGCGTAAGGTTTGAAAAATAGTTTTCGGTGAATCCATTTCCGGAAAATATTCAAAGGGGATATTATGCGTTGAGGAATGCTTAAAAAAATCATTCACTCGCATTCTCGCATTTCTATATAGAATTGCTGCAAGAAGAGCTGTATCTTCGGGTGATAATGATTTTGATCGTTCGAGATTATATTTGTAAAAATATAAATGTAAAAGTGAAGAGGAAGATCGATGATTAAATTTCAATAATTTTAGCATTAATGGACTATAATCAGGATCTTTTTGTGATAATCTGAAGTTACAGCATCGTAAGCTATGTAAATAAATGTATTCGAATATCATAACATAATTTGGATTGTTGAAATAGACTGATGGTGAAACTGTACCTTGGTCTTTAAGTTCCCTTTTACTTTCTTCTTCACACTTTTTCATGATATTATCAAAAAGTGGACCAAAAACTTCTTGACTATTTTTCTTCCCTGGCTTATCGAATGATGTGAGTAAGCTAGGCAACATTGTTGCGTATGTTGCACATGATCGAACATAAAAATGATATGGTGAAGTGTGTTCTGATAAAAGTGTATCGAGGATTTTTTTTGTTTGAGCGGCAACAATTTGAGCAGTGTCAGGTGTTTTTTTAACCGATAGAAATTTAATGAGAATATGATAGAGGGGTCCATATGCCGTATTTAAAGACATCTTCGGAATCTGATATATCGTCGGATAGTGCGCAATAATAAACGACAAAATATTGAATTTCAGTATATCCCATCGGTCGTTACTCATTTTGAAGTCGGTAGTGTTTGCGATTGAAAATAAATCTTGAATAAATTGTCTTTCTTTATTGAAATTGAGCGATTCATAATCATCAATAATTTCTGTCTCAATTTTCGAAAGAGCATCGGTTAGGTCAGATACTCTAAAATCAGGCTCTTTCGGGAGCTGCCTGATATATTCCATTCAACATAAATTTGAATTCAAAAAGTTGAAATTCTGAATGGTTAATGATTATTTTGTTAACAAAATTTTGATCAAAATCAAGCAAAAATTTACGAAATTTTGCCATATAAAAAGGTTTATAGGAATAAAAATAATTTTACTGACCAGTCTTTGCACGATTCATAATATTAGTTGCAACTTGTTTTCTTGCTTTCGCTTCAAATGCAGCCATATCTCTGAGCATTAGATCTCCGACTTGAGCGTTTAAACGGCCTTTCTCGTTAGGATGTTCTAAAGCATTTATAATACCTTCAATTATTTTTCTGACATCAACCGTGTTATTATATTGAACACGAAGAACATCAACACAAACAGCGCCATTAATATCAACGTTGGGATGTACAATTGGCGTTTTCATTTGGACTTTAGGAGCATGTTTTGGATAGTCGTCTTTGAAAGTAAAGTATATATCGAAAATGTCGTTTTCATAAAGACTGCCGGCAGGTCCTTCAATTTGGACCAACCATTCGCGGATGTTGTTGTTTGGCCATGAAATATTAACACCATCGATTGGGCGAAGTGTGAGGCTTCTCTTATCAGTTTCGAGTCTTTTAATTGCTGTCATTAAAATTTCAAAAAACGATGGTGAAATTATGGTGAAGAAAGCAGCCAATTAATATCTGAATGTATATTTGGCAGAGGATAAATTAAAGTACTGGAAAAAGGAAAAAAATTGAAGCCTCCGGCGGGACTCGAACCCGCAACCCCAAGATTAAGAGTCTTATGCTCTAGCCGGTTGAGCTACGAAGGCTTTCGTTCCTCAAATAATATCTTTATCTGTCACTAAATCTTTAAAGCGAAATTTTGATGGAACATTTATCTATTGAAAATGAGTGATTTCAATTAGCAGTTTAAAATTTCACCTTGTAATTCGCCAAAAACCGAATAAAAAATTTCACCTCTGTAAATTTATCCAAAAAATTCTTTCATGTTTTTTTCGATTTTAATCACACTTTGTTATCGAATCACAGGAAAAGCATCATTTTACACGGATATTGTATCACTTGGCAATTTTGGATTTTACAAAAACGGAACTTTCAGTTTTACCCTAGCAAATAACATTTCTAATTTCAAAGCAGGAAGAGTCAAACTTTTTATTATGACAGCCAAACAATACAAATCGTTTTTGAGGGATTACATGAACTTCGAAATTGATATTGAAACTTGTTCATATAACGAACGATATGAAGAAAGAATGTTTAATTTAAGTATTGGGCAAGTCCACCAATTTAGCGATTTTATTGAAGAAAAAGGAGTCTATTATTCAATAATTATGAATTGCGATTATAATTCAGCTAAATTCAATGATTATTACTTTGTTGATGCAGTTTATACGAATCCAAATGATCAGCATCTTGATTATCGCGATATTCCCAAATTAATTATGTATCCAATTTTTCTTGGGCTTGTTTCCCTTCTATTAGTTCTTTTTGTCATTTTCTTAATAATAAGGAAACGGCATTTCCTGAAAATATACATTTTCATCCTCTTATGCTGTGTATTTTATATTTTATTCCTAGTTTTTAGTTACATTAGTATAAAATTTGATAGTACGCACGATGAGCGATCAAAATGGCATATTTGTTTAACAATTTTTGAGTGTCTATATTGCATTGGTTTGTTTTCACTTCTTATGGTGTCGACAAGAGGTTGGTGTATTTTAAATGTTGAATTGAATTGGAAAGAAACCTTATTGAATATCTTTTCTGTTTGTGTTTTCTTTTCAATGATTTATTTACAAAATAATGTTACTCTAAATTATTGGGAACTTGGTTTCTTTGCTATTGAAATTGTTGCAATGATTTGGATGGCACGTGCACTATTTTTGAATTCACATTATGCTCAAAAACATATTAATGCACATATGTATGTAATTAAACAAGCAGGAATTGACCCAACAACTACACCGATTTATGAGAAAACAAAAATGTATACTTATTTCTTATATGTTATCATCTCTGTTGTAAGTACTATAATTATAATGAATATTTGTTTAACATGGGTTGAAGCTGATAATTGGTTAATTTCAATGACGAACATTATCATTCAATTTGTAACACTTTTGTCAACAATGATCATCTTCAGACCAAGAGGAATTGTAATTGATCAATACATGATGTCTGATCTGAGTGATGAAGGTGAGCGTGATGAAGTGAGGCTTGATGACCTTGATGGGTTTAATCCAAACGATAAAGGTGGCGCTGTTTGGCAAGAAGGAATGAAATTGCCACTACAGCCGATTCTTGTTGGTGAAGAAGTATCAAGAAAGCCAATGAAGAAAAGCGAAGTAGCATATACATCAATTGAAGAACCAATCTTACAAAATGGTGATGTGTAATGATTTTACTTTATAGATTTCTTGTGAAGTATGTTTTTTTTTTATTTCTGTGAAGTATTAAATTTATTTTTTAATTTTTTAATTTTTCCTTTTATTGGCAAATTACAAATTGTAATTTTATTTCTCTTTTATATTTATATTATTCGAAATCATTTGTTCTGTCTAAAATCTTATGAGGAAAACACAAAAAATCATATTGGCATTTTTTTCATTTGATGTTATTTATCAATAGGAAAATCTAATCATAATTCGATAAATGATGTCAATAAAATTAATTAAGGTGATCAATCTGGAATCGCACAACAAATTGTTGTAAACAATACATTGAGTTGTAGCTTTGGTGTACGAATTTAAGATTTTTTGACAGAATTTAGTATTTCTGGGAAATTTACAAAAAATTTGTGTTTTTCATCTAACATTTCGCATGGATCCTGGCTTCGAAAGTATTCTCAACAACCTTTTTCAGACGAATCCCGCAGAGGCGGTTGAGATGTCAGGAAAGTTAATTGTTAATGATCCAGATTTATCATTTTCGGATTGGCTTACACTCGAAAATCAAAGAATTACAGAATTTTCTTGTCAAGAAACTTGGGATACGCCACATATCGTCGTTGTGTGTCAAACATGCGCCATCGGAAAAAATTCAGGGATATGTGTTCCATGCTTTTTGAACGGAAATCATGAAGGTCATGATGTAATAATCGAAATTTCAGATTCTGGTGCATGTGATTGTGGAAACAGTAGCTGCTGGGACCCCAAAGGATTTTGTAAACATCACACATCACTTTCAGAAGATCCACATATTATTGATCTTGGCGAAGAGCGTTCAAATTTTATTTCATCAATTGTGACATGTGCAGCATCAGCTATTATTCCATTATCCATTAAGGAAGGGGATGATGTTTCCTATATTTGTGAGTTTTTATTAGATTTGATGTCAATCGGTGATGCCTATCAACGAATTGTTGTCCTGGCAATGAGCAGATATGATTTAACATCACTGTTATTTAATTGGCCCCGATTTACACTTGACAATGCAAGTATTATTTATAAATTTGTTGTTGAGCTTGCAAATGATGGTGATTTCATTCAAAAATTCATCCCTTATTTTTGTGATTTATTTACTTATTTAGTTGGCTTGGAATGTAATACAACAACTTCAAAAAATTACATAGAATCTTCATCAATCAGTTTTTTAATTGAAATTAGCTTTTTTACGTGGAACTATGTCGCTTCACATCCAAGCATGATCAGTGAGAATAATCTTCCTGAGTTAATTGCACGTACCCTTACAATTTTTACATCATTGTTTGCTTATGATCTTCTTCATCCAATCGTTTCGAACTCAGTCTTCCGAGCTTTATTTGAAAATATTTCAATTATTATAAATACTGAATATTTCTTAACGATGCTAGAGAATCCAGAAAAACAATATATTTTATCAACATTTTTGGAAAATATTTGTTTAATTGAAGCTAATCCAGTAATAGAAATCTCTGATCAAAAAAATTCTAAAATTCTACAAAATAGTTGCTTGGCACATCGAGTTATTTATGAAACATTTTCTTCTTTAACGAGGGTGAATGTGAATTCTTCTGTATTCTTTTCATCACTTTCATTATTTGTATTAATGAATGTATTGAGAGATATTGTTGATAAGCCAACAGAATTTTCCCCTGCAATTTGGCAACGATCAATTTTTCAACGTGGTGTATGTTTAGGATGTTTTTTGCCTTTACATTTTTTGGCATTTGAGCATTTTATAACACACTCTGATGATCCTAAGAAAGATTGGGAAACAATTGCTGAACAACAGCATATGGAAACAGAAATTCTTCTATTTGGAGCAACAGTTTTGCCTATTCGAACATGTGCATTGTTATCTTATATGAGTTTTGAAATGTCACCAGCACCTGAAATAATTTCAGTTGATTATGATCCGATAATATCAGTTAGAGGACGTTGGGGAGCAGCATATTGTGCTGTTGCCTTAGCTTCCGAAACAGATGATGTTGTATCAATGATTATGCATACATTTGGTTTATTTGATAATGATAAGCAAATGAATAATAATCGACCAATTCGTTTTTTCGCATTCCTTCACTTTATTGCAGTGCTAGTAACAGATACTTCCATCTTTTGTAGATCTAAATATGAACTGCTTCGAAGAAAAGTGATTGCAATTCTCCAAGAAAGTCCTAAAACACTTTCCCAAATTATAGAAAGAATTGGTGATATTGAGAATCAGTTTGATTTAAAGATGATTCTTGATGAGGTTGCTATAAAAACCAAAAATATGGGTAAAAATGGGTCAAATGATGGAATTAATTCTATGAATTCATTTGGATATATTAATAGTTCAATGAATGGAGTAATGAATAATGATTTAATAAATTCTGGAATGAGTAGCTTAAATAATTGGACTAATAATGGAATGTTGAAAGGAAATTATGGAAATATGAATCAATCTAGAATTCAATTGAACTCTACTTCTTCTTCTTCTCATACTTCTGGCACAACTATGTTTGCGCTTAATCCGAAATTTGGTTTCTTAATGGTTCCTTTATCCATTTGGATTGGACCAATTATAGCATATGAAGTAATTAGTAGGTATGTTGATCCGGATAGTTCTACACTTTTTTATTTCTTGAATGGAAAAGAAGAAGTATTCCCAGAAGGATATGACATGAAAAAACTGTTATTCACGCAATGCTTCTTTGCTGCTTGTTACATGGCTATTGTTGAAGTTGATGTTGAAATAGATTATACAACAATAACATTATTGCTGAACTTACTCTTATTAGTTGATAAATACAATACTGAACCACCAGTTAAAGAACCAATCCCAGCAATACAAGTTCAGACATATGAGCAATTATGCTTAGCTATGCCTTCTTCATTCCCACGATTTTTGAAAACACCATTTGCTTACAGAATGCGAAATGGCGTTACATTTTTAGAGCTTGTAAGAACACTTGGACCAGTTTCTAACCATTTCATTAATTCGTTATTTAAAGGAAATGGTGTTGATAATCGTAAAAAGATCGATTATTTAAAGCTCCAAACTATGAAGGAATTTACCCATGCACAAAATGAGTATTTACCTAAACCTTTAAGGAGTATTTCGTCACATAACCATTGTGTAGTTTGCCATAAACCAATGAAAACACAAGAACAAATTCCAGCTCTATGCTATGCATTTAGAATGCCTTCAGGAAGAGCTACATATAGGGTTGCTATTAGTGGCAATGCATTTCATTGTAAGTGCTTCTCAAATGCAAGGAAATCCATGCTACATTTTAATTTTATTCTTAATGATACTCGTTCAGTCCTTGGTAAATTTGATCATAAAGTTGAAAAGCTTGTTCAAACAATTGCTGATGAAATTGAAATTCTTGAATTGAGGCATTCCA